CTACTGCGGACATCATTCTTGGGGCCCCCGTGGTTGGAAAGCACAATTCCATTCTGTCCTGGAAGACGGGAGAAGTCCTGAAGTGGGGCAAGGATTGCTTCCCAGACTGCTTCCCCGGGACTCCATCTCTGCCGAAGAAACTCCCCGAGGCCCTTCCTGTGAATTCCACTTCCATTGAGAGTCCCATCGAGAAGCAATCCTTAGACATTCCAACCTGCTATGCCCCCTTCAGAGACGTGTTCTGCCCCAGACAAGCCTCCCGCTTACCACCACATCGGCCATGGGACTGCGCCATCGATCTCATTCCGGGTGAGCCAGTGCCTCGTGGAAAGATCTATTCCCTATCGCTTCCGGAGCAGAAGGCCATGGAGGGCCCTGGTCCCAGAAACGTCAAGGCAGACGCCTTGTCGCGTATTCACAGTCACATAGAAGGCCCCGAAGAACCGGAAAGCATCATCCCACCTAAGATAATCATCAGTCCAGTCGAATGGAATTCCCCTCTAGTGGCCTCCAACACAGCTCCTAACAATCCTCCAGGATGTCACTACGTACCACGGACACAGCGCACCCCACTCATTCACTCCGCTCACTCCTCCCGAGGCACTGGCCATCCAGGGGCCAACACCACCCTCTCGCTGCTACGAGATCGCTTCTGGTGGCCCAATATGGCAAGGGACGTGAGAAGGTTCGTGCAAGGATGTCCGGATTGTGCCAGGTCCAAAAGTCCGTGCCATTTACCATCTGGCAAACTCCTTCCCCTTCCAGTGCCGAATCGCCCCTGGTCACACCTAGGAGTAGACTTTGTCACAGATCTACCCCCCTCTGAAGGTAACACATGCATCCTGGTGATTGCTGACCGCTTCTCGAAGTCATGTCGCCTCCTGCCCCTCAGAGGTCTCCCCACGGCCCTAGAAACTGCTGAGCTGCTATTCAATCACGTCTTCCGATACCATGGACTTCCTGAAGACATTGTCTCCGACCGGGGACACCAGTTTATCTCCAAGGTATGGAATGCCTTTAACCTCCTAGGTGTGGCCGTAAGCCTCTCGTCCGGATACCATCCCCAATCGAATGGTCAGACGGAGAGGAAGATTCAGGAGGTGGGGCGATTCTTACGAACCTTCTGCCATGGCCACCAGGATTCCTGGAACCAGCTCCTGGGCTGGGCCGAGTACGCCCAGAATTCCCTGCGACAGCCTTCTACTGGTCTCACTCCCTTCCAGTGC